GCCGACAAAATAATGAAGGAATCAGGGGTCAGTGTTTGGACTGTGGGGGTAACTGGAGCACTCGGAAGAAACCCACGCGGACACAGGAGAACATGCAAACTCCACACAGAAATGACAACTGACCCAGCCGGGACTCGAACTAAAGAGCTTCTTCCTGTGAGGCAACTGTGCTAACCACTGCGCCATCGTGCCACCACTATTTGCCACCCTATATCAAAAAATAAATTCATTCATTAATTTTCTTTCAAGCTTAATCCTTTTATTAATCAGGAGTCGCCACAGGGAATGAACTGCCAACTATTCCAGCATATATTTAATCCAGCGGATGCTTTCCAGACATGCACTATGCACAATTTACCCACAGTGCCACCCTGTATCTAAAAGTAAATTTATTAATTCCTTTATTTTTTTTTTCTGCTTAGTCCCTTTATCAATCAGAGGTCACCACAGCGGTATGAACCGCCAACTTATCCAGCATATGTTTTAAGCAGCGAATGATTTCCATTACTGGGAAACACCCATACACACTCATTCACAAACACATTCATACACTACGGCCAATTTAGTTAATCAGAACTTGCAAACTCCACACAGAAATGCCAACTGACCCAGCCATGACTCGAACCAGAGACCTTCTTGCTGTGAGGCAACAGTGCTAACCACGGTGCCACCCTATATCAAAAAATAAATTCATTCATTCATTTTCTTTCCGGCTTAGTCCCTTTATTAATCAAAGGTCACCACAGCGGTGTGAACCGCCAACTTATTCAGCATATGTTTTACTCAGCGAATGATTTCCATTTCTGGGAAACACCCATACACACTCATTCAAACACACACACACACACACACACACACAATCACACACACTCATACACTACGCCCAATTTAGTTAATCAGTACTTGCAAACTCCACACAGAAAAGCCAACTGACCCAGCCATGACTCGAACTAAAGAGCTTCTTGCTGTGAGGCAACAGTGCTAACCACTGCGCCACCGTGCCACCCTATATCTAAAAATAAATTAATTAATTCCTTTATTTTTTTTTTCAGCTTAGTCATTTTCTTTCAAGCTTAGTCCCTTTATTAATCAGGAGTCGCCACAGTGGAATGAACCGCCAACTATTCCAGCATATGTTTTTTCCAGCTGCAACCCATCACTGGGAAACAACCATACACACTCAATCACAGACATACACTACGGACAATTTAGCCCACCCAATTCCCCTATAGCCATCGGAGGAAACCCAAGGGGAGAACATGCAAACTCCACATAGAAACGCCAATTGACCCAGCTCGAACCAGCGACCTTCTTGCTGTGAGGTGATTGCGCTACCCACAGCGCCATTTGTTTAGATTAGATTTTGATTATTTATCTTCTGTTTCTATTTTCTTATGTTTATTTTATTTGGTGATTTATTTTAGCTCAGTGGTCGAGTCTCGCCTGGGTCAGTTGGCATTTCTGTGTGGAGTTTGCATGCTCTCCCCGTGTTGGCGTGGGTTTTCTCCGGGTGCTCCGGTTTCCCCCACAGTCCAAACACATGCACTATAGAGGAATAGATGAACTAAATTGGCCATAGTGTATGCGTGTATGAGTGTGTGTGTGTGTGTGTGTGTGTGTGTGAGTGAGAGTGTATGGGTGTGTCCCAGTACTGGGTTTCAGCTGGAAGGGCATCTACTGTGTAAAACATTTGCTGCATGTTGGTGGTTCATTCCGCTGTGGTGACCCCAGATGAATAAAAGGACTAAGCCAAAGGAAAATTAATGAATGCATTTTTAAACATTCTTCTGTCATTTATTCTACATGTATTTAATTTTTAATTATTTATTCAAACTCATTTTGCTATTTAATTATGAATTTTAAATGCAGTAATTTTTAATTGTTTATTTTAGTTAAATTATTTATTTTAGATGTAGTTTTGTCATTTATTCTACATGTGCTTTTATATGTATTTATTCATATTTTAGGTATTTTTAGATTTTTTTATTAGTATTTGTTTAGTTTATTTATAATTATTTATCTTAGATTAATTAATTATTTTATTTATTTATAATCTTTTTCTTGTTTATTTTATTTTGGTATTTTTTTAGATATACCTTTGTCATTTAGTCTATTTAATTTTTTATTATTTATTTAAACTCATGTTGCTATTTAATAATGAATTTTAATTGCAGTTATTTTTTATTGTTTATTTTAATTTAATTATTTATTTTAGATATAGTTTAGCCATATATTCTACATGTGTTTTATATGTATTTATTCACACTTTCTGTATTTTTAAAAATGTTTTATTAGTATTTATTTAGTTTATATATGATTATTCATCTTATACCTCTTATTTTATATATACACTATTGTAATTTATCCTACATGTATTTAATTTTTATTTATTTATTTTTTATTTAAACATTTTGTTGTTTAATTATGAATTTATATTGCAGTTCATTTCCTTTTTTATATATTTATTAATTCATTTAAATTTTTTAAATCTTGTTTCAAGATATTTCTTTATTTATTTTAAATGTATTAATTCTGTATGTGTATATGTATTTTAAACTTATTTATATCTTATATAAATGTAATAAATAAATAAATATATTACATATATTTTAATGTTTTTAATTCTTTAAATATCCTTTCTCTTTGAAATAATTCTACATGTATTCACTTTTTTATTATTTAACTTTTAATTTAATTAATACATTTAATCATTAATTTTAATTATTTAATAATTTTGTAACTTTTATTTTTCAGCTTTATTTTTACTATCTATTAGTTTATTTTAAATGCAGCTGTTTCACACTTACTTTTCTTAATTATGCATAACGCAATGATGTTTATTTACTTTAAACATCTTTATTTTAAATTTATTTCTGTATATTTACTAAATAGTATAATATTAAGTTAATAAATATATTAAATATAAGATTGACCAGCGCCTACCCACAGGCACCCATCCCCTTACCTAAATCCAACCTATAGTGTTTTCAAAAGCACCACTTGACCAGCACCCACCCGCCAGCACCCCATTTTAAGGTCAATATTATTAGCCCCTTTAAGCAATATTAGTTTTGAATTGTCACCAGAACAAACCACTGTTATACAATGACTTGTCTAATTACCCTAACTTTACCCTAATTACCCTAGTGAAGCCTTTACATGTCACTTTAAGCTGAATACTAGTGTCTTAAAGAATATCCAGTCTAATATTATGTGCTGTCATCATGGCAAAGATAAACTGAATTGAATGGAGTTGAAGTAAAGGGTTGGCATATGCTGTGTGAGGCTCTGGACGGCCCTCAGAGCCTGGTTCGAGCCCCTGAACTCCCTCAGAGACGCATCAGAATCCTCCCAGATTGACAACTCAGACTTCTAATGAGCAAAAAATCCTCCGAGCATGAAATCGCAGTGAAATGTGTGTTTATAATCCAACTACTGTTCACGCTAATCCCACGAGATGGGTGTGTTTGTATGATAAATGACTGTAAGTATGTGTGTGTGTGTGTGTGCTTGAAAGTGTGATTGTGTAAGACAGTGAGAGTGTGTGTTTGAGTAAATGAGTGTAATT